CAACCCAAATCATTCTATGATTCTATTGTTAGAAAGAAATTCTTTACTGTTAGAGTGGTGAGGCCCTGGCACAGGTTGCCCAGAGAGGTTGTGGCTGCCCCTGGCTCCCTGGCAGTGTTCAAGGCCAGGTTGGATGGGGCTTTGGGCAACCTGGGCTAGTGGAGGGTGTCCCTGCCGATGGCAGGGGCGTTGGAACTAGATGATCTTTGAGGTCCCTTCCAACCCAAACCATTCTATGATTCAAAGGTGCCTCCCTGGCATGGATAAAGTTAGCCAGGAGGAATCAGGTCAAGTAACCACAGAGCAGAGGAGTGAGGAGAGGAGAAGGGATCTAGACCACTCTGGATCTGGAGAAAGCTGGATGCTTGCGAGACAGCTACGGAGTGGGTTCATGATCCAGGGAAAACATGTGTGGAGAAAGCTTTTCTCTCAAGCCTCAGGAAATGGGGAGGGTTGGGGGGTCTGGGAGACAGACCGAATGGAAAGAAACCTGGAGCGTCCGGGTGCTTAGAAGGAACATCACCATGCTCGCAAAAGCAAGCGCTAGATGTTACGAGATGAGGTAGTTAAGTCCTAGGGATGAAGCCAGGGCTCACGACGGCAGAGGTGTTTTGTGGGTCCCCTTGCAGAAGGTGGAACATGAGCTGGCACTTAGGAGAAGAAAAGGGGCTCATATGGCTAAAGCAGCTGAATGCTCCCAAGGAGAGCTGGGCTGTATGGACATTGAGATGGCCACTTAAACCAAGGTCAGCCCAGGAGGGAAACCCTCGTGCAACGCTGAGGTGGAGCAGCAGGAGCAACACCTGGAGTCAGAGGGAGCTGCCCTCTGAACAAAGAACGTGCCACAGGATGCTGTACGTTCAGGGGGAAAAAACAGTCCCGTGTCAGCTCTAATTGGCCCCTCAAATGACAAGTTATTCTTTTGGTTTTAATCTCTCTGTGCTTTGTTTCACCACCTTTAAAACACCCCTCCATCTCACAGAGGTTTGGGGAAAATTAATTAATTGTCCATCAACTGCTCAGATACAATAGTGATGAGATAGGCAGAAGTTCAAGAGGAAATTAATAATTCTGCCTCTGGAACAGGGCTTGAATAGAGCCTGGCAAATAAGGCAGAAGGGCACACACTGAACAATGAAGAGAAAACAAAATAATGAATAGCTGCTCATTAAGTGAGCAAAGTCCATTCTGTGCACTGAGGGAGGCAGAGACCCTGTGGAGAAACCAGCATGGGATCCTGTAATTAAAGACTGTATAATAATGCATACGCACCAGGGGGGCAAATTAAGGTTGCACAAGGAACCTCAACACTGCTATTTTCTAACTTTTCAGTGTTTGACTTTCAACCTTAACAATGCTCTTTTAATGCAGTTTTTAGGTGTGTTTTGAGGTCCAGAGGTGTGGGCATCACGCTTTCCTTCTCCAGTTCCAGCAGTGGGATGTCTATGCTCATTTATTCTGAGAAGTATGCACTTACCAGCCATTAAAGGCTTAGAAAAAATAATCAGTTAGAGTTGATGTTCAAGTAAATGCATACCAGCGTTTTGGGGCTGTGGGTTTGTTTCCTTTTTTAAACAAGGTGCGTGTAACCAAACCCAGTATTTTCTTAAGCCAAAGAATAATACATCCAACATAGCACATACATACTACAGCCTACTTTAAAAATAAAACATATCCTAGAGAGAGCTGGTCAGTATGTTTTAATTCAACCTTTTGCCAGTCAAAACCAACCAAACAAACAAAAAAAAGGGCTTTCTCATGATACTGAACAGTTCTGCAAAAATAAGGAGTGCTTATGGAAATGCTGTAGAAGTCCCCTGCAGGTTTTAGCTCTGGGTTTCCCAGCCCGTGGGCGTACGGCACTCCGAAGCTCTCTGCCACCAGGCAGCCGCCCCGCAACCTCCAGCACAGAGACACTTCCCACCCCAGCTCCGAGCTGAGAACCCCAGGAGGGGATGAAGAGCCCTGCCGCAGGGTGGTGGCTTACCGAGCGCTGCTGCCCGTGCTGCTCTCTGTCCACCCCCTGCACTGCAGGTATCTCCCAGCAACCCAGCATCCCAACAGCCGCTCGTGCTGTTGGGTCCTGACGAGACAGCGGGATCCCCACGTGCTCCCACAACTGCAGCTGCAACCTGCCCTCACCAACACACAAAAGCTGGAACGCTGCTGCTACTGCTGGCAGGTGTTACAGCAAAGCAAGGGTGAGATATCCTCCACGATTCCCCTTGTGGAAATCGGCCACGTGATCATCTTGAAATTGTCCCTCCCCTGCCGGAGGCACCCACACGTAACACAGACGGAGGGGGAACAGAGCACCAACCCTTCCTGTCCACCCTGGCAATTCGCAGCAGCCACCTCCCGACAGCCGAGCACGTAACGACGGGTTTCGATGAACACGAAGGCCACACGAGCATCGCTGGGTTGAAACTGCCACAGGAGCGGGCTTAATTCTCTGCTGCTCTCCTCCCACCTGACAAACCCGACAGCCTTCCGGCCTGGAGCCGAGCTGCCTGACGGTCGCTTTCCAGCGCAGGAGTCCCACAAAACAGGTCTGTGTCCTGAGCAGTCTAGGGGGGAGCTCACAAGACAGCGAAGTTTGGCTGGTAAATCCCTGCCCATTGACTCACTGGTCTCATCTGAAACTCAGAGGAGTCCAGCTGCTGACCCCACAGGTCTGAGCTCAAAAGAGAAAACCCTGCTCTAACTGAGCTGGAGCACAGCAAGCAGCTTAGACCGATGGCCTGCCTCCAGGCTCACCTGCCCCGTCACAAAGCAACTCAAAACTGAGATGCTGGTCCCCAGCAGAACTGAAATCCAACCGACAACCAAATTTAGCATCTATGTTAGTGCATCTATAGAGACATTATTGATAATAAAATCAAATTCTTATTAGTAATAACACAAAACGAAAAGATCAATCACACCAGTAAAAGTGAATGACCTTTTGGTGAAGGGTTGGGAGCATAAAAAAAATGAAAAGCACAAACCAAACCAGAGTTTTAATCTAGAATATTGGAACCATTTAAACCGAGGCTTCCTATTTGCTCATTTAAATCATGAGTCCACGCAGTGACGTCAATCATTCCAGTTCTCACCCACCCTCTGTGGGTTAAACTGCAGCAAGCAGAGATTAAGCGACCGGATGAAACCACACGCAAATCACCAGCAGAGTCGGGGAAAACACAATTGGGACAAATCAGTCCAAATCTCAATTCTTGGCTTGAAAGAGACTCGCAGACCACACCTAGGATGACCTACAGCAGCCAATCCCCCCTTTGAACTTCTGAAAGCTACCATGCCCAGAGGGCCGAAGGCCTTTAGGAGAGCATTTCGGCTGTGTTTTATCCTTCAGAAATAAACATCACCCACCTGTAAATGGCTTCTCGAGAACACTGACGCTCTCCGTCAACCCCCAAATTTTAGCGAACCTTCTCCCATGAAGCTGTGATTTGTAGTGAGGTTTTTTTTAGCAGGTTTGAGGCATGCAATCAATACCACGGAGAGTAAAAATCAGAAGAATTACCTCCTCTGCCATCGTGCTAAACAGTTAATCGTCTTCATTTGCTTGAAAAAAGCAACCTGAGCAAAAAGTCCTACTGATTACAGGAGAACACTTCTGGGGAACACAGCTTCATGCCCGCAGAAAGCTTTGGTCATTAAAAAATTGACCTGGATCAGTTGGGCTTTCACAGCGAGAGTTACAGTAGAACCACTAACATATCGAGCATACGTAGCTGCCAGCTGCATGTCCCCATGCAACTCAAGGGAGCTTAGGTGGCTAAAAAGTACCGCTGTGGGCTTTTCCTGAAGCGTCTCCACAGTTAAAATGTTAACCTTCATCCCGAAAAAGTTCATTGCTAATGCAAATAAAATTGGATTACAAACCTTCCCAGGAAAGCCCAACCTCTCTGTATGCTTTCTCATACTGACCAAGTTACACAGCTCCCTTCTCTCAAGTTCTTCTTCTGGAGCTAGTTGTCCTATTGCCCTGTACCAATAATGTTATCTTGCTTCTCTTCTCTACAAAAAAGTCTGCACAGTAACATTTCAAAGAACATTTTATGAGATTGTAAAAATACTGGGCATGTTGGCAAGTGCCAAGGTGAATGCAGATTCAGATATTTAATTATACAGTCAATCATATCTGCAATTCAGACAGCAGCTCAGATCTCACAACTTAATTATTTTAATTTCAGATGAATAGCTTGTGTTGTCGTAAGCAGGTTGACACACTGGAAGACAGTCAGAAATTATACTAGGAATGGATAGTCTTACTGCTAGCAAGGAAAAAAGTTGGGGCATCCTTGGAAATATTCAAAACCTGACTGTACAAGGCCCTGAGCAACCGGATCCAACTTTGAAAACAGCCCTGCTTTGAGCTAGGGGTCGGGGTGGTGAGGGCTTTGCATCAGAGACCTCCAGAGGTCCCTTCCCACATAAACCATTCTGTGATTCTGGCTATAAATAATGAGATAAACTACAAGCAAAGACTGTATCTTTCTCATACAACTCCCTAAGTCATGCCAGTCGCCAACAACGTTGTGCCAGCTCAGCACACGTATCTGAAACTGCCTTGCACGAAGGCAGCATCTTTTGTGATGCTCCAGAAGTGTCAGCAGTCTTTCAGAGGCATCTTGCACGGCTCACCGAAGTGCGTTTTTACCAGCCAGAGGCACAGACATTTCCTGGCTCCTTCAGTCTAAAAGAACCAGATACAAACGTCACAAGGCATTTTTCAATAGCTACCAAGAGGAGGTGTTAAATAACCAACTTTTATTCCTTTGACCACCCACGTATCTTGGGCAGCCTAAAAAGCCTGAGTTGACATTTGCTGTTCTGCTTTTCATTTCAAAAATGCAAGAGGAATAGCGTAGGGCCCTATTAAAAAGAACAAAGCCAGAGAAATTTGCGGCAAGGTTGTGAACCTGGCAGCTGATTTCACAGTACAGCCAAGGCGCAGGATGAAGCAAAAACTGTTAGGAATCATTAAAAGCTCTTACCTGTCCTGCAAAAAGCCCACACACGCCAATAATACAGAGAATGTTAAATACAGCCGAGCCTACGATGGTTCCAACGCCTACATCTCCTTTTGTGATAAAAACACCTGAAAAACAAGTTCAAGGCAAGCTGTGTAAATTGGAAAGAGCAAAATTTTTCCACAAAAAGTTGCAGACCTCACACCCCATTAACAAATCTAAGGGCACGTACCATTTCTGCCATTTTTTCTCATATTTAATAGGGCAAGTTGCAGAGGAAGGTACTAGGGTGAATAAAGGTGGCAGAACTTGCTTTCTGACGTGACCTGAATAGACTGTCTAATGAAAACCAAATACCTCAGGCATGTCTAAGTCACCAACCTCCTGGTCTTGCGATCCAACAGTACGGTAATACACATCATAAAAGACAGTAAGCTCCGTGGGAGCAGCTGGTTGGATGCAAATCTGCAGGAAACTCTCTCCCATAAGACATCCTCTCACCGACCCTCTGCTCTTCCCCATACCTCCATCCCTACTGGCTTCCGTAGGCAAGTAGAAGCTTGAGCTGGAGCCGATTCAGAGCTGCCTGGCCGCGAGCTACTTGCAAGCTGAAGGATGCCTCTCAGGATGAGTTATGGGGCTACGTCACAAGCTCCTTTCAGAACTCTTCTGTCAAATTTGGTTAAAACTGGCCAATGAAGTCAATGGTGAGGGAGATGAACTGACAGACACATGCATCATGGTACTGCACAAAATTCTTTCCTTAGGAAGTCAGCCTAAAAATAACACTCCATCTCCTGCTAGCTGTCAGTCTGTTTAAATTCACCACTTGCTTTTAAGTTTCCAACAGTATTTATCTGGCCAACATAGTTTAGATTTTGTTTTTCCACTTTATCCTTTTCTCAGAAACATGTTACACAGTAGTAGTCACCCACCAAGTGACACTCAGTATCTGCTGGATTACACCACAGCAAGATAATGATCTGACCATTAGGGCTTCTCTAAGCTGCCTAAAGGAATCTATAGTTTTACTTTCACCCTGCTACTGCACTATCTTTAACTGGAATACAACCCCAACTTGGTCCAAATCAAGTTCCTACATTCTGAGGCTTTGCTTCTGTAATCAGACCTCTCTGCAGAGTACGCAGCTCTGCGTGAATTAATTTGTGCTCTGCATCTGATAGCTGTGACTGAAACAGAAGTATCTTCTAGGGAAAGTATCTAAGCTGAGAATAATTCTCCTCGGTGATGGAGCACCCACCTTAACCTTCCAACCGCTGCTCTAATGATCATCTACCAACAGAGACGTGGATGAGTAAAACTGCGAGAACACTTTCGCCTTGTGCCAGGTAGCATACGTACAGCATCATTTTACAACAGCTGACTGCAGTCCCCCATTAGCTCAAGGCTGTTGAAGGACCACACGAGCTTCCCGGGTTTCACACACTTAAGGACTGCTGAATCCCTTGATCACGCTTCCCATAAGCGGAGAGTTGCTTTGGCAGCGTGATGCTCTGGCCAACTTGTTGCTGTGGGAAAGCGTTTCAAATCCTCATCTCCTCCCTGCTCTGGCTTTCCCAGAGGGAAGTGGTGTTAGAAGACTAACCAGAGCGGAGGTGATAGCAAGGAACCTGGAGCTGAGGACACAAAGGGCTCACCTGGGTACCAACCCAGGAGGCTGGAGGTGCGTCCTGGAGACGGCGTGGGAGGGCGGGCAGGAGGGGAGGAGGCTGCACGCGCAGAGCGCTTCGCTGTGCGCTTTGGCTGTGTTGCAGCACGGCAGATTAACGGACAGGGAAGGTGAATTGCCTACTGGCCCTGGTTTGACGGGGCCAGATCAAACCACTTCCAAGGCAGCCCTGCTGTGGGATAATGGCACTTTTTCATAGCTGCTTCATCTAGCGAGGATTCCCCACAATTAGTGCTACATGTGCCCACGAGGGAAGGGCCAGGTATCGTGAGGAATGTTACGGGCGCTTAGCCATCCCGTTTCAACTCTGAAAAAACAGCCAGGGAAATGCGGAGGTTTCAAGAAGCCGCAGCAGGTTAGTTACCTATGACAGATGTAAACAACTCAGGAGCAGAGCTTCCCGCCGCCATGAAAGTTGCCCCGGCCACATCTTCGCTAAGATGCAAGCGCTGCAGAGAAACACACCACAGTCATTGATTACAACACTGAAAGGCTGAATGAATTCAACTACAAACGTTAAACTGTCTGCCAAGAGCAGGGAAACTGCCGATACGTATAAAGTTTTATGTTAATAAAGTTTAAGTATAGGAGGAAAAGTCATCACGGGCATTAGCTACTTAAGTTAGCATCGCCTTGTAGAGAGGGCAGGCTGTGGCCGTGATACTCTTTACAAAAGAGAGAAAGAGCAGTACTCTGGCGGGCAGCGAGGCAGTTTCACCGGTCACGGCTCTTTGTCTCCTCCATGACCCCACCAATACACACCTCACCTCATCTACTTTGGCCCGTAAAGGGCAGGGCTGGAGCTCAGCATCGCTTCACCCCCAGCCACCTTCCCTGGTACGATCTCAGCCTTGGGCATTGAACCCCTCCTCACCCGCTTTCACTTGGATCACCATCGAAGACACTTACCTCCTACAGCCTTCCCCTAGCAGTGCCCCCCTAAAGCAGGGGGTTCTGGAAGGGAAAGGACCTGCTACTCCATGAAAACTTCATCGGCATATGCTGTTTCCAAAGATTTACTTGGTTAATTACTTCCTATATGTTTTCTGCATTCCCGCTGCTCCATCTGCACAAGTCACTGTTCAGCAAACGCCACAAGGCTCTTAAAGACCACATGCCTTGCTGGCACCTTCCACAGTTTAATGAGTAGCTAAAAAAAGCCATCCCCCCGCCACGCAGCCATAAACTGCTGAGCTGTTACTACTCAAAGCTGGCGTCCTCGCACGCGTGCAAGTCAGCGGCCGCCGTCGAGGAAAATAGCTGAGGGTGGTGGGAGACGTTTCCCCAGCAGAACCGGCTGTTCGAAGCAGCACGCCCAGCCTGGCAGGATGGAGGAAGCCTTCCTCTCCCCTCTTCCTCTGCAGCAGTGCAGGGTTTCTCTGCAGCTTTATCGTTACCAAAGTACATTTGCACAGGGTCACGGATTTCAGAAATCCTCCCACCAACCTTATCTGGATCGAAGATCCCACAAAGGATATTCTAGGCCCGTAAGAGAAGGTAACTCTATCCGCTGACCATACACGTATAACAAAAAAAATTGTACATCGTTATAGGGACAAGGAAAAAGGAAAAGATGTGCCCTCACCAGGAACGCTTTTTACGCAGGAGACCACGGCATCGCTGCACGGCTAAAAAGGCTTGTGGAGCCTGATTAAACACAGCTTTGTGGGAAACGATTTTAAACAGGGTTAAAACTATTGTTGAAGAAGTTCATAGGGCCAGAAGCAGATCCCCAAAGGCCAGTTTCTTCTGCAGGATTCTCTATGGAAACATAGAGACAGTCACCCTACAAAAGTCGGTCTGCAAGTCGCTGGTATCTTTTGAAAGAAAAGACCATCAGCCAAGGAAACCAGCTGCGCTGGACTTTCTGTGGGCATGGTCTAATTTAAAGCTATAGTAGGTTCCCTTGAGGACAGTTCCTAGATAATTTATTGCAATGCATATGATGATTAAGTTAATACAACAGAGCAGAAAACAGAGCACATGCTATGTAGGAGGCACAAATGTATTCTCTGGTATCTGCAGACAAATGTTTGCGATTGCCGTATGAGGTTAGTTGCGTCATGTAAACGCCCTGTAACACCAGTAACAGAGAGTAGCTGGGCAAATGCAAGTACAAGCTGTTTCAGAAAACAAATGAAAATCAAGGCTTTATCGTAAGTACATCTGAACTAAGACAGAATGTGAACGTCTACCATAGCGAGTGTTCCGGAACAAATTCTCATCTCAACACGCACATTTGGGAGCACAAATGCCTTGCTGGTTTAACTCAACAACCGCCTTCCAAACTAGATGAAGCTAAGCCAGGAAAAAAGGCATTTATTTTAGAATTAGTGCATCTAAAGTGTGAGCAACTGTAGAATGACTATCGGTTGATCTCCAGGACCAAAAAAGCCTACAGGCAGGAGGCTTGAATTCTTTTGTGGTGGATAGGACAGCAGGTGGTAGTCGGAGTACCGATGGTAGATCTTAGGTCAGCAGCAAGTCATTACCGTTTACGGTTGTTTGCATGCAAAGCGTGTTACACGTACTGCCATGCCCAGCACCACCTCTTAGACGTGGACTTCTTGCAAGGGGCTCTCTCTGCCCTTCCCCTCTCTCTCTTTTTCTCATTTTTTGTGCGTTAACAAAGCAGCGGACGCCATTGAAAACATCACAGGTCTTATCAGGTGATGGAGGAAGACTCCCTCACGAAGCAGCCCTGGCTCTCCAAGTCAGCCTACTCATTTCACAGGGTCTTTATCTGTGGGGAGCACTGGCTGGTGTGAGCAATGGTGGCAGCATCTGCTGTCATCGGGCAGCAATAAAACCCTCCCTTTCCCAGAAAAGTAGGCTAGAGTGGACACAGAGACCTTCACGAAGTGACCCGAGCCTTTTCCCACGCATTCTCGAGTGCTAAGATCAAGAACAAGCCACGAAAAGCTGGATGTTTTGAAGACAAGCCACTCTGCACTGATAAAATCAAAAGTAGTTGGATCAGGAAACAGGAATGCGTATTTCTTTTGCTATCATGCAACTACAGAACTGCTTAATTATGCATAAAAGACATAAATAAAAGGAATTGAATGTCCCCAAAGGTCACCTATGGGATGAGAAAAATCTTTTTTTTAGAGAGAATCAAGTAGGAGCAATAGGAATAGTAAAATTCTGATCCATTTATACGATGCATGTTGATAATCGCTAACAATACAGTATCTTTTCTTCCGGACAGTAACTTCTTAATACAAGTATGCCAGAGATTTAAATGTGGTGTAAGGGAAACTAGCAATCTGAGGGGGGCTGCTCTGGAGCAGGCCTGACTGGCAGCGGACGGGGGCATTTCCTGCGGCAGGGAAATGCTGGGGGAGCAGAGAGACCCGCCGGGAGCCGGCAGCTCTGGCGGGCAAACAGGGCACGGCGCGGCAGTTAGCGTGGGACGGTGCCTCTTCGAAGGGACACTTGAAGTACACGTAACCCAGCAAGCACGTACCGGTCTGCGAGAGGTCAGGGGCACCCATCCTACCTGAGCCTCGAGGCAGAGTGGTGGCTGAGCTGCAGGAGGTGGTGAGAAGGCTGTGTAACATCAAGGGGGCTGATTTTTCCCAGTCCTGCCGGTCAAAGGCAAGGGCTACGAAAGGGCCAGTCGAATCTGGGGAGTCAACAAATGGCCCCAGGACTGGTGCCTCAGCCAAGGGTTCGGCTGCTTACACCATGGGACTCACTTTCAGAAACCGGGGCTGCTGGGCTCCATCTGTCAGAGCAGGGGAAGAGCATCTTCAGTCAGAGGCTTCCCGACCTGGTGAAGAGTGCTTTAAAGTTGCCTGGGGAGGGGAATCTCAATCCATCCCACTCCGGCCAGTTTGATGCCAGCACCAGCAATAGATGCCCAGAGCCTGGAGAAGGATCACAGGGCAGCAGGAGAGCACCTGAAGTGTGGCACAAAGGAACCGCGGCCACTCCAGCCACTCCATCAGCTTCGTCGGGGCACAACTGAAATGCATCTATGCCAACGCATGCAGCATGGGGAATACACAAGAGGAGTCAGACACGTGCGCACGCCTGCAGGGCTGCGATCTTATTGACACCACGGAGATGTGGTGGGATGGCTCCTATGACTGGAGGGTTGGAATGGAAGGATACAGGCTCTTTAGGAAGGACAGGCAGGGTAGATGAGGAGGCGGTGTCACCTCTATCTCGCTGACCAGCTGGTGTGCGTGGAGCTCCACCTGGGGACGGATGAGGAGTCAACCAAGAGCTTATGGATCAGGAATTAAAGGGAGCGCAGGGACAGGGGACACTATAGTGAGGGTGTGCTACAGGCCACCTGACCAAGGGAGACCAAGCGGATGAGGTGCTCCATAGAAAGACAGGAGTAGCCTCACGTTCACAAGCCCTGGTCTTCATGGGGGACTTCAATCACCCTGATATCTGTTGGAGGGACAACACAGCAGGGCATAAGCAATCCAGGAGGTTCCTCTACTCCGCTCTCGTAAGACCCCACCTGGAGTACTGTGTCCAGCTCTGGGGTCTCCAGTACAAGACAGACCTGGAGCTGTTGGAGCGAGTCCAGAGGAGGCCACAAAGATGATCAGAGGGCTGGAGCACCTCTCCTATGAACACAGACCCATATCAGACCTCTGTGCCATAAGCAAGGCCCCTAACCAAAATCCATTCATAGATGGGATTTAACAAGTCCTCAGTCAAGAGAAATAATAGTCTTCCTCAATCTCCTGGCTCCACCCATGTCCCTCTGGGTGGCAGGCCTGCCCTTGGGCATATCGATGGCACCCCAAAATACAAGGCTGTCCTGGACACTGCTTACCTAGCTTAGGTTTCGGTTCATCTACGGTGACCTGAGCTGGCCTTCTAGACCCACGTTTCCCAGCAGGGTTCCCTTGCTCACGAGAGGGGAGGTTAAATAACTCAGCATGTCTACACCTCCAGCATCTCCCATCCCCACTTCCACATTACTGTCTCCGTTCCCTCCCCCTGAACCTCACAGTGGCTTTCCCTAGATTCAGCCCTAGAGAGTGCAGCAACTTTGCAGGACAGAAGCTCCTGCCTTGTGTTGTTACCCTTCAGTTACTTGAATACTTATCCACCAAAATAATAGGATTTCCTAGGGACCTTTTTTCTTGATGATGCAAAAAGGCTTGTATGGCAGGGTGCTGAACTACAACTATCAGGTTAGTTTAGAGACAACTTCCATCGCAGCTGATAGCACAAATGATTTCTCCTGCCACCTCCCACACCTCCTCCCAGAGCCCATGCCCTGATGAGTGACGCTTCCTGCCAGGCACATCGGCAGGTGTCTCCCCCGGCTGACAGAGTCATCTAACCGGCAAGACGAAACCGTATTTTCTACATGCAAAGATTTCACTGGCCGAGATTGACACTGGAGAGGGCTCGGTCACTTCGGGCACATGGTCTGTGTTCACTCCGTAGCTGTCCAAGCTGATTTAGGCTAAAACGCACTCCTTGTCTCCAAAAATTTCAGCACGCCAACCTTAGCAAGAGAGGGACAGAGTCCCTTGCAATTGCTGGAAGCGTTCGAGAGCTTCTTTACAGCTGACCTAGCTGTCCCTGCTGCTTTACAACTTACACCAACACAACGCAAGGCACGAAACTCACGACTTTGAAGGCGAGGTACAACATCCATGATTTCTATCGGGCTAAAACACCAGAGGTTTTAATTTATATCAGCTAAGGGTAGGGCCTCGTGTTTTTGAAGAGACATCTGCAAAGACACACAAACGCAAGGCAAGAGCAGCTATCACAGCACCTGGAGAGCTGCCAGCCTCTGAAATCTCACGCTGGGCACCGCACAAGCAAAGCAGAAAGGCCCCAGGAAGCGAGCGTACTGCACATCTGCAGCGTCCTGAACCTAAACCAAGGCTTCATGTCTAACCAAAGTCCAAGCAGCCAAACCCAGCTCTGGCGTGGGTCTGCCCAGGGCAGTCCTGCTCTGGCTGGGCAGCACTCCTGTCAGTGGCTGCACCGGGAGCTGGTAAGTCCCGGCATGAAGGTGCCGGCGACGTGCAGGTCCTCACCGGCCCGGCAGCGGGGGCATGAGGGAGGCACAGCCCCACATGCAGGAGCAGGACCCAGCTCTCAGGCAGCTGGCTGAGAGCTTGGCACCTTTCCCTCCCCTGGGTGGTTTTTCCTTTTTGTTTTTAAATATCAACACATCAACGCTCTCTTGTGCATTTTTCTTTCCCAGCCTGACACTTGGGAGGTTTCTAAGTTTTAAGATAGTGGTATATGAAACTGAGAAACACCCCGTGGATCAGTATTTCCATGCAAAAGTCAAGAAATAAAAGGTTATCATCTTCCAAGTCCTGGGAAAAGCGAGTGACATGCCTGAAGCCATAACTGCACCAAAGTGCTGTTCCCTACGTGGGCAACGAACAACGTCCCAACCCTCTCTCAGTCTCCGATGGCTGGATCCCACCTCAAGGGCAGGGTTTCTCAGCCGGAGAGGTGGGATCACGTCAGTGGTGAGCAGCAGAGCCCAGGATAAGCTAACAAGCTCTGCTGGGCTTATTACCTGGAAACCTGTGCTGCAGCTGGCACCGCTGGGGAGCCCGCAGTGTGGGGCTGAGTTTGAGAACCACAGCTCTAGAGAACCTGTTTTTCACTGTGTTATAAATTGCCTCAATTTTTAAGAAGTGGCATGATGTATATACGGGAATTATGTGAGAGGCGACTGCTAGCTTTGAGAGGGAGCATCAGCCAAGTTTACCTGCCAGCAGACTCCCAGCCCATCGCCTGCGAGCGAGAACACAAAGCTGAGCCAACGCACACACGCGGTGTTGAGCAACTAAAGCAGCACGGGGAACGCTCCAAGGTGACAGTAAATACACTACCATCACGCCCCAAGGCTGTCAAGAAGAGCTGCTGCTAAAGTAGCACACAAGCTTAAGTAACATCTTCTAATACTTACTTCGCAAATCTTTTCCAACGAAGGGACAAAGAAATCATCGCAGACAATTGCCAAAGCATAAAACATATACACAGCCTGCAAAAGAAAAGAGAAAATGTTGAGTCTGGAGATTGTCAAGCAGAAATTAACTGCAGCGTCCCAACTCATCTTAGGTTTGTTTTGGTATGTACTTCTTAAAAAAATAAAATGTTCTTGCAAGAAGAATTCATGGGGGTCTCTGGGATTTAATAGAAAGATCATGAAGTATTTACTCAAAAGTTTTTACAAGCTACCAAAAGCTGCCAACATTTTATCATCATCATAGAGACTTTTTTTTTTTTTAATTCTCTCGATATTGCTAAGCCACACTTAAATATTTCTGCCTTCCTTTTTTCCCACGGGTTGCACAGCACAAGGCTCTTTTATGATTGAATTCTGTGAAAATCTAAACCCTAGAGGAGTAATCTTTGAAACGCTAGTGTTTTGAAAAAGGGGAAAGGAGCTTGTTTTCTGTGGCTGAAGTGTCCTGCCACGTCATCTGGGATCCCAGCGATCATTCTTCCTAAACTCCACATAGGAACAACGTCCAAATGAAACCCAAGGGTGAAGACGAGACAGGACACCTAGTGAACCAACTCTTCAATTTCATGCAAGAAGCATTTCATCTGTAGTTCTGTGTCATTAAACGGAACGTGCTAGGGCCTGACCTCTGGCCTGACAGGCAAATGGCACAGCACGGCCCACATCCACGCAGCCAAGCTCTCGTCCTCCCCAGGGAGCGTAACCTGGTCCCTATTGCCCAGAGGGAAGGATCTCATCCCCCGCCTCGACCCAGGTCCTGGCGCTGGGTCGGAAAACGCTCATCGGCAGAGGGGAAAACGGGGTGCAAAGCATGCAGGTACCTAACAGAGCACACCGCTGCGGCCAGGCTTGCCCCCGTGTCCCAGCCCGCTCTAGTTTACTGGCATAGACATATCGGAGACCACTCCGGCTACTCTTGTACCACCTTACACAAACTTAGACTGCGGCGAAGGAGCAGAGCCAGAAATAAGGAGAGCCTGAGGAATAAGGGCATCACCCAAACAGGGTAGCCTTGCCCAGAGGACCATGCTGCAGCGAGGAGAGCCGCCCCGGCCTGCCGTAGCGAAGTTTTAAAGCCAAACGTCCTATGCCGTGGGGGGAAGCGGGAGAGCAGAGGAGAGAGAACCGCACCCCCTGAAGACCTGCACGACAGGCCAGCGCTCATCCCTCCCGGCACTCCTCGGCGTCAGGGCGCAGCGTATCTGTTACAGCTGGCATCTCCGTAGGAACTAGAAAACAGCCTGTCTGCAAGTGCTACCAAAAACCTGCCGCAGAGAGAGTCTACGTTACCATCTTGGATCTTGTTCCCAGCAGACTGCAGCGTGGGCAAAGGTGCGTTTATTGCTACGTACTTGTGAAAGCACGCACGCACAAGTGAGATCCTTAAATTGTGGGCACGTAAACAGAGAGGCGAGGCTCAGGGCATAAGCCTGGAACAAACTGCACCGCAGCAGCTGCGCACAGACCAGCTGTGTGCAAGAAGAAGGGGCTTGAGAGGCTGCACACGGCGAGGCAGGAGAGATGGCCACCTGAGCTCTGCCTCTCCGGTCCCCCCCGGGAGTTCGCTGGTCACCTCTGGCAGAGGTAGGTCGCTGCAGGGGCTGCGCCCTGTGCTCCGGCCAGCAGGCTTGCCGCTCCTGCACGTCAAAGGAAATTACATCCCCACGCAGCACGAGGTCACCGCAGAGGGAGGCACGCGTGCCGCTCCGGAGCAGCGCGTATCGTTAACCACAACAGCGAACGGAGCATCACCGCCAGGTTTGCACGGCGCACAGCACGGCCCGAGGGCTGGCTCACAGCATCACAGCCCCGCGGCAGCGTCTGTATTCCCGTACTGCCCGGAGTTTACACTCCTTGTCCCACATGATCGAGGAAATCTCCCTCAACTGGAAACACACGTAATATTTTGCTAGGTTTTCAGTCAGTTGTTGGGGGTTTTTTCTCTTTTTTTTTTTTTTTTTTTAAGATAGAGCTTCTCACCTGCAGAGGTATCTGTACTGTGCCTGAAAGCAAATGTCTTGAGAAAGAAGTAATTTTGGCACCTGGTCCAATAAAGCAGGTAAGCGTGCATCAACCTTTTCTTTTTCACAGTATCGCTCACAGGTCTTTACAACATTATTCGTCTTTCCACTCCCAAAGTGAGACAAAACATCTTTTTGTAACACCTGCCATGTACACTACAAAATTATTTTTACAAGTAGCGTAGCTCCAGTGAATAACTAGAGCTAAGAGAAGTGGCCAATATTTGTAGAAAAGCGGTGTCTCAACCCTATCACAGCACAGAGTTGTTATCACATCACCACCAGATCCTCCTGCTTTGCTAGTCTTTGAAGTTTGCTGTGGAAGTTGGGGTGATGGGAGGAGACCAGAGTATTTTTTTCTGGAGGGAGAGCAGCAATAAAAATGGCCTCCGGAGTTTTGTTTCAGTTTCAATTTTGTAGGAACAGGTTTAAATCCCCCAACCCCACCAAAACCCCAGATTCTCACTTGCCAGAATTTAATTACATCTTTGCTGCAAAAAGTCAGAAAACTTTTCAAGCTCAAAAATAATTCAAGTATATTATTTTCAGGATTAGCAATGGGATGATTTCAACACCATCTTGAAGACTCAGTGCTAGACTGTCACTTAGGACAGTTTCTGTGCTCCTCTGTCACTGCTCATAAACATGAATAAACGGAACTTACACTTTATGAAACTCTTACACTGCAAAATGGTCCAGAGGACCATGAACGTAAGCAAAATTCCAGGTCTACAACTCTGCTGGGTGCAGCAGAGACCTTGTAGGGGGAGCACCAGCTGCTGACAATGACACAAACAGGTAACTGTACGAACAGAGATAAAGGAAGCAAATGGCTCCACACATCGTGCATCGTAGGAAGAAGGATCAGAAACAGCCCCAGAGAGTTACGTGGCCAAATCCCATTGAAATACAATAGATAGCGGGTGCCCAACTTCAGCCTGGATTTTTTAATCTGCTAATCATATTAATCTGCAGTAGGTCACGCCATCATCTTCCCTTCCTAAATACACAGTAATGCCTTTCAAGAACACTAATCTGTACATCATCATCCCTATAAATTGAGCACATCCTCTATATTTGACGTGATCTACACTCACAGAGCGCAAGGCATCATATGGCTGCTCGGGCTTCCTGCAATCTGCTGCTGTTGTGGTAGCCAAGTTCTCCTGAAGGGGGGGCAAGGCAATGGGGACAGAGAGAAGACAGCAAACCAAAAAAACCACACACTCAAAAGCCAAACCAGGTCACTTTGGCATCTGCCTCCACACGTGGCGCGCAGGCACAGTCTTTGCCTCCTGTACGTCCTCACTGTTTGCTCACATCACGCGAAGTTACGCATCGTACGCGGTGCTCACCAGAAATACATTGGTCTGGATGGACATCAGGTGCAAGATGTCCGTCAGTTCTCCTGTCCAAGAGAAAAGGCAAAAAGGGGACCGAAACGAGCAAGGAGTAGAAAAGCAAATGTGAAGAAACCGCCGTCACACTTTCTCTATTCTTCTTGGAGGTGGTGGGGAACGCCACGCTGCTCTGCCTGCTGAAAGCACTAAGCCAAAGCCTAACGAGTCAGTAAGATTATTGTGGGTGACTTCAGCAAATTTTAACGCAAGGCTGATAGAACAGATCAGGCTGAACCCACACCGACTTATATGTTTTAGCATTTATTTTTTAATGACCTCATTGTTGTCACAATTCTAGTTTTGGCTGGGAGTCTTCCCTAATTTAATTTAACTGGCTTAAGTGCAATACAGTATAAAGTGTCAAGATCGAAGGAGTATCTGGCTAGAAAACAGCTTGGTTCACAAACGAAAACACTGTCAACTACCCTTGCTAAGTTAACGCACAAGGACAATAACTGTTACTTCCTTGAAAGTGGTCTGGGGTTTTTTAGTTTGTTTGGGTTTTAAACAAACAAAATAAAATAAGGTTTAGAGTTTGGGCCAACAGGAACACAACCGAAAAAATTAATTTTATGTCAAGTCAATCTCATAAAGATGGAGCCCAGACACCAGTCCAGGCTATTTTATGTGGAAAGAAGGAAGGCAGCCATCATCAGGGCAAGCAAGTCTGCTCTGTGTGTCAAACGTGGGGAATGCGAACAGCGTGGCTTTAACGTTTTGCAGCTGATTCGGTGGTACCAGCTTCCATCCAGGTTAACTTGAGAGTCCAGCAGAATCCCACTGCTTCTTCCATCAACACACACAAGTCCGTCCTCGCAGGCACCACGGGGGCAGCAGGTGTTTTTTCTCTAGGGCAGCAGCAGGGCAGCAGCAGGGCAGCACTTGCTGAAGCCTGTTCCACCTGAAAACAGCCACCGGGGATAAAGGCGGGCGGATAAAGCTGGGGGAACGCGGGTGTGCTAGGGGCAGAGCCGGAGCGTGCTGTGCCCGAGGGCAACCGGGGACAACCTGACGGACAGGACGCAAAAAATAAGTCTCAGCCCCAGCATCGTTTAGTTGTGTTTGGCTTGAAGTGAAGACATGGAAGTCTTTAAACAGGCAACCTACTTAAAAGACACTCTTCCTCCCCAGAAGGACATGAAAAAATTATGAAAATATAATGGCCCTGCACAAAAGGATTATAAATGCCAGATTAAGTATTACATTAGGATTGATTTTAAAATGATGATTCTAACAAACAAGCATCAGAGAAGTAATTGTGATGTCTGCATCAAAGGAGATTAAATATCTTACTTGGAATACATGTTCCATTGCACAGTACATAAATGATAATTTTTCACATTTGCCCAGTAGTCCTTTGAGTTTCCTGTGCCAGTCTTCAGATTAAAACTTGTCTTACTGAGCTAAAGCAAGAAGCCTTTCCTAAGAAAGCTTAAATAGTGTAGGACGCAGCAATTCCCACAGCCCTGCCTTCCTCCCAAGAGAGCCGAGGAAGGAAGAGGTGACAGTCCCTGGCTGCTCCCCCCACAGACCTCCCGCCCCAGCTGAGCGGGCACAGCCAAGGGCCGTCGCTGAAACCACTGTAACCAAGCAT